TACTGAGTAGGAATACCCTGGTTGCCAGGGCTTCGATAACCGCTTCTGTCTCAACGGAGTCGAAGGCTTTCTTCAAGTCGATGAACGTGAGACATAGCGGCATCTTGTACTCTCGCGATACTTCGATGAGCTTCGTTACCGTACAAACAAACAAACGTAGACAAACATGGATCCAAAAAATGAAAAATTGTAGAAAAGCAAAATTTTGTCCTCGGTGGGATCCGAACCATCGACCTATTTTTTACGTTTTTTTTATTCGTAGAAGCGCGCAGCGAAAATGAACCTCAGTTTTCTGGTCCTCGTATGTGCCCCTACAATATGCACAAGACCATTTTGAAAAAGCTCACCACGCCCTGAACGACCTCCCTTGTGAGTGTGCATCGACTGTCCTCCACAAGTCATTGTATAGGCCACATCGCATTCAATAAGCCACTACGATTCTGAATGGAAGTAGAATGCGTGCCGCATTCCTTGGAGGGATCGACCAAAGACTTTTAGACTTTATTTTTTCAATCCTTCATGAGGGTACTCGCTTAGGAAGTCAAGACGTCGCGGGTGATTTGGCAATCCTCAAGACCGAAGGAATCACCCACATAGCTAATGTTGCGACAGGCGTTCCGAATCACTTCCCAACTAAATTCGTATATCTTCATTTGGATGTGTTGGACCTGCCGTGGACAGATATTGTACAGGATTTCCCTGCTGTGCACGGATTCATGAAGAAGTGCGTCGATAGTGGAGGAAAGGTGAGCAAAATTAATTCTGGCTTAAAGGACATTCCGCGTTGGTCTCATGGGCGGAGCTCATGACACATTGACCGATCTCGATGGTCTGCTCTGCCTTCAGATATGGCAAAGGAGTGGAGTGCTATGGTTCCTGTGACTTCGCCTATGCGACCAGTGCGAAATGTGCCTTGAGCGCTAGCCCTAGACGAATTCAGTGCACCCTAGGGATTCAGCGATTATACTACTTCTTTTAGGTACTTGTACATTGCAATGCCGGTATATCACGAGCGGCGACCTTCGTGATCTCATATCTTATGGTCTACCATGGAATGTCCTTGGAACTTGCCTTGGAGACAGTCAAGAAAGCCAGGCCAAGTGTGTTCCCCAGACCTCGAAATGACAGCTCATCTAACCTGTTAGCCTCAGCGTTTCAGAAGTCAGGCCGAATATGGGCTTCATGAAGCAGCTAAAGTCTTTCGAAGAATCGCTCTCAACTTGTGGTGCCTAAAGCAAAACGGTGAGGGTTACCCCGGTCCTCTTCTTTCTTGCTTAAATACAGTTCCCGCGATCAAGTGGTCCGCGAAATGCCTCCGTGCATTTGGCATCGTTGTCCGCATTTGCAGAGAATATACCACTTTCGTCACTCGAAACGGCGAGATAAAGAAGCTAGAGACGCGTGATTATTGCAACCATTGCAACCACGATTACTTTCACTCTGCAAGACAACGGCTTACAAGCGGGATTGCGTGTACAAGCGTTGCCTGGAGCGTCGTAGGGCGATTTCCTATGCTCTTGTTGGAAATTGGTTGCACGTCGAATAATGCTGAAATACTGTGATTTGTTTTCACAAGAATGCTGAGTTATGGGCAAAAGTCGGACCACGGACGGGATTCGAACCCGCATCTTCTGCTTTCCGTGCAGCTGCGTTCCCTATTACGCTACCGAGGCCACTTTTGACCACTCAGCTCAATGGCTATTTGTGCCATTGCCTTCGAGCACTCACACGTTCAACGTGATGGCACAAATAGCCATTGAGCTGAGTGGTCAAAAGTGGCCTCGGTAGCGTAATAGGGAACGCAGCTGCACGGAAAGCAGAAGATGCGGGTTCGAATCCCGTCCGTGGTCCGACTTTTGCCCATAACTCAGCATTCTTGTGATAGCTTTCGGATCGCGTACTGCGGCGTTAAACAGCAGTTAACAAACAATAACAGCTGATTGGGTTGCCGAGGTCCGACAAACTCGTCCAAAGCGCCGGCCCCACTGCTAAGGGGTCTCTGTTCAGAGTGTTCCCAAGGTTTCGTTCAGTATCTTTCTCCACTGGGGAGTAACTTATGGGCTACTAGTTCATGGCTGAGCACCTACTACTGACAAGTGATCGCCAGAATCGTCTTTAAACTGGAAGAATTTGATTTTTCAGGGTTACGGACGTACCTCTTGCGGATAGTGACAGTTGGAAAAAATTGGACGAACTGGCTACGATTGAGAATATGTCATCGATTTTTTATCTGATCGTTACTTTCTCGCCACGGCTCATGTTGTCAACTTGTATGAATAATAAATGTTTTAATTAGTCAGCATTTATATTCCAGGACACCGTACGGCCATTGCATTCACGCTATACCATCCGGATAGTTGAAATGGCGGTGTGAGCAGAGTCACTGCCTCTCCCCCCTCGTATTTCCTCTTCCAGTGGCACCCCCTTCCCTATTTCCATCAATTAGATCCTCCCCTCAACGAGTTCCTCGCATTTTTCCTACGACTTTTTTTTCGCATATCCACGAAAAACGGCGTCTAGAGAGCGGAAGTCTTCAACAGTTAAATATCACAATCATTAGAAACAGTGGTTGCATAGCAGTTCTGCGGCTTTGCTCTTAATTAAAGCAAAGCCCGCGAACCACAGATTGTGGCTAAATGGAAATACACATAGGACCGAAGAAATGGCTATGGTATCTATTAGCGGAGAAAAGCAGCCGAAACAGAAAAACAGCCGAAAATGCCCTAAAATAATGTATTTCCATATCGACTTCAACCTGTAGCATTTTCATTTGAAGAAAACGAAAACTTGAGCTGAGAGGTCAAAAGTGGCCCCGGTAGCGTAAGTGGTAACGCAACTGCCCGGTAAGCAGAAGATGCGGGTTCGAGTCCCGCCCGTGGTCCGACTTTTGCCCACAACTCAGCATTCTTGTGATAACTTTCGTATCGCGCACTGCGGCGTAAAACAGCAGTTATCAAACAAAAACAGTCTAAAACTTGTAAAAAGCCTTCAGCCTTGCGGTTCACTGCCGATATCGGCTAACCGGCTCATCACGTTGAACGTGTGAGTGCTCGAAGGCAATGGCACAAATAGCCATTGAGCTGAGAGGTCAAAAGTGGCCCCGGTAGCGTAAGTGGTAACGCAACTGCCCGGTAAGCAGAAGATGCGGGTTCGAGTCCCGCCCGTGGTCCGACTTTTGCCCACAACTCAGCATTCTTGTGATAGCTCGAAGAAGTATTTTTCTCGGCGAGCCTTGATGCGATTCTCACCAATCAAAGTGACCCATTCCCCTTCCCCATCTCAACCTACGCCATCCCCTGAATTTTTCCATCTTCCCATCACTTTTCCGGAGATATTCTCCTGTTTTTCCCAGAAAATGGGCCAAGGAAGGGCGCTTGTGTAGGGGGAAAAAACGAGAAAAGTTAGCACTGAAAATATTGGTTGGTTCATTGGTAATGGAATTTTCCTTTAAATCATTCCAAAATATTTTCATAGGAAAAAAACACCTGACGAATCTCACGCCCAGTGTGTCCTATGTTATTTGATAGAAAATTCCCTGCTTTAGCTACATTAAATGCAATGGCAAAATTTTACATATTAAAAACGAAATTTTAAGTGAGCAAATCGCCATTACTTTTGGGGGCCGAACACACAATTTTTTTGAAATGCAAGGCACGAACCCCTTCCCCTTCGCCAACGCCCCCCCCCCCAGTCCTCAACGAATCCCCAACGCACGAAAAGCCCTGGAAAAAAATGCAGAGGCGCACCTGAAGCGTTCTACCCAAATACGTTATAGACTCGGCTCTGAAAGTATTGAAACCATATAAGAAGCCACAACAGGGCACACCATTGGTTAGGGATGTTGGTCGAGTCCGTACGACCACCCCCCTCCCATCCCATCCGGCCACTCTATATCTTCCTTCTCAGCCGAGCGGCTGTTTATAGTACGCATGAAGCAGGAAAGTCACAAAAAGTCAACCACCACTCCCAGAAGGCCAGAAAAGTAAATACGACCCCCCCCCTCCCTCTTTTACAACGCCCGTAAAGCGAGACAGAATTAACGTCAAATAATTTTCTACGGCCCAAAAAGGACCCCCGGTCGTTAAGCGTATTTGGGGGACCACGCGGCGAGCGGCGAGTGGTGACTCATCAGTTCTTCACTCATAGGCATACTTGAAGCGCGAATCTAGCAGCCAAATTAGAATGAAACAAACAAGATTTACCGGGAACTTGCTGGGAAATCCCACAGAAGCTGAAAACAACAAATATTTGATCTTTTATAGTCAAGAATCAACAAAAAGGCAACAATCGTTTGTATTTTAGGCAAAATCTTCCAGCCTACAACTGTTTCTTCGCACTTTTCAGCCTTAACTGTTTTAGCTTTTGAATATAGCTAGGGCGAAGTTATATTCATGTCCTAAACACGAAATTACTTCTATATTGCCGAGGAGGGAGCAGAAGAGCGGATGAGTCATCGCTCGCGCTTGCCGCGCGTGGTCCCCCCCAAATACGTTAGCACCGGACCCCCCCTCCTGGCGGCCAAATAACCTAAAAACCCCCTTGTTGGGGATCCCCCAACAACGATGTGCCCTGAGCCCCAAACTCGCTTGTTTTGCGCACTTTATTTTCCGTCGCGTTTACTGTATCGCCCGTTTTCATGCAGTTACGGCGCGTACACTGCGCTCCTTCGATTTTCGACGGAGAGCGAGCTGTATTTTGAGCATCAGCTTTATGCATTCTCGCCTTGGTGTGGATGGATTTGGAATTAATTCCAAAGGAACTATCCGCACCTTCCTGGGGATGGAGGCGACATCCGAATGAGATGTATGGCCGATTATGAGGTCAGTTTTTTCAAGATTTTATTATTTATCAGTCATGAGCGCCGAATGTTTATTGTTTACTGTTTATTACATTACATTGAATGGACGCGAAGAATACAGTACTGCAACTGGGAGAAGTACGGGAGATCTTGCCCAGAGTCCTTCTTTCTCTTTCTAGATTCAATGTTTAGAAAACAAAACGACAGCAAACATTACAGCAGTTGTTTCTACTGTGTGGGAAGTTACAAAGAAGAGTTTTGTGAACAACTGGCGTCTTTCAAAACATTATTGCGTTAGAAGAGACTCGCTGGTCTGTTAAGGAGGGAGAGGGCATTCTGCAAACTGTCACTGTTCTGGACAAAAATGTGTAAAGTCTTGCTTCCACAAAGTCGTACGGCATTGGTCCCTGTGAATGGGATCATATCCCTTGGGAAGAAAGCGACAGAAGTAGGGAATATATTGAAAGGAAAGGTGCAAGGGAATGATTGTGTTTTGAACCATTTCTCACGAGATGTGAGAATTGTTTTTCCACCCAAACGATAGGTTCACCCACCCCGGAGCTCCTTTTCCCTAGGCTTAGGCAGAGTCCTCATTTTCAGGCCCACAATAGTTCCCCCTCATCTTCCAGCAATAAATGCAATCCAACGTTGAGGGGTCGTAAAATTGGCATGTGAATGAAAATGGTACTATTCTGCTCCGCAGGAAATTACAGGACGCTACGTCTGTAGACGG